CCCGAGGGCCCGGGAAGGCGGAGACTCACGACAGGGACACATCGTGCTGGGGTGAATCCATCCACAGGCTCCAGGCAGGACTTTCCATGGCTCAGTGACATGACAGTCGGGACCTACAGTGCGGCCGTGGCCTGGATTCTCTCTTTTTTGTAAAATAGTTTTTTAACTGATTCTTAGAGAGGAAGGAAGGGGAGAGAGAGAGAGAGAAAGAGAGAGAGAGAGAGAGAGAGGAGAGAAGAGAAACATTGATCAGCTGCCTCCTGCATACCCCTCACCAGGGACCAAGCCCGCAACCCAGGCATTTTGCCCTGACCAGGAATCGAGCTGGCCGCCTCCCTGTCCATGGGACAACACGCAACCACCTGAGCCACCGGCCAGGGCCTGGGTTCTCTTTAAGGCCGCACATAAGGTGGAGCAGAGGGAGGAGAGCCACCGAGTCAGGTGTGGGACGGTGGCCGTCTCCCCCGGGGGTGGCGGGTCTGGAGTTCACACCCAGGCACAGGGGGCCGTGGGGAAAGGCTCAGGCCAGAAGGGACAGCCTGCACTGCGACGGCCCATTGTGGGGAGGCCCGTGTCCCCGAAAGGCCCCCACGTGCACTTGTGACGGTGGAGGTGATTTTCAGGAGCGAGGGGTGATCGCTGTGACCTGGGTGGCTTTGTAAATTAAAAGCAGGAACAGAAACAGCCGCTCTGCCCCCCTGGAGATGAGGCCACACAGAACTCTCCTTCGTTATAGAAAAGGGCGACAGCAAGCTGCTCTCATTTCCCTCCAAGGAAACCCAGCCCAGAGGAGCCTCTGCCACAGGCACCCGACCGTCCGCTCAGCATTTGGCTGATGTTCTGAGCGAAAAACGCAGAGTCATCAAAAACAGGCCCGATCAGAAGATCCCATGGAGGAAGGTGCCTTTTTTATTTTTAGGTTTAACAAAGAGGTCACTCAAGCAAAGGAGAATATTTAATTTCTGAAGGGGACACACACACGCATGCACGCACACACACACACGTGTGCACGCTTACGTTTTTCTGAGTCATTGGAGAGTAAGTGGCAAACCTATTTCCTCTTTACATCTGGTGCCTAAAACGAAGGGGACTCCAGGCCCGTGTCCTGCCCCTGTCCCGGTGGGGCGGCCCCACGGGGCTGTCTGAGCCATCACACGGAGGCAGCCTGGGCTGCATCCAATCAGATCCCGGGCAGCGGGAGGTGCACTGTCCTGGCCTCTCCATGGAACCAGCGGCCGTGACACTAATTAAAGGTGAGAGCCCCGGAACGCGGGGAGCTTCGCCAGCACCGTAGGAACACGCACAGCCGTCAGGGCCAGAGGTTCGGCCACATCCTGACGCACAGAGGGCGCCTGGAAGCCTTCGACCAGCCTACGACAGCATCTTCTACTTGGTTAATTAGAGGCAGGAAGGCTTCCTTTTCCTGGATAATTACTCTCCCAAAGATGTTTCTGCTGGAGACACGGGGAGCAGCGTGGCCTTTAGAATAAAGACACACAGAGGCCAGCAGGTCTGTTGCAAGCCTCAGGGAGGTCCCGTGGGAGTGGCGGGAGCGGCGGGCCCTGTGTGCCTGGCGTCGTGCGAGCGGACAGGCTCCCAGTGTCTGAAGTAAAGGCTGCGGCGCAGTGGTCACCGCAGCAGCCCTTCTTGGGAAAGGAGCCTGAGCAGCTGGAGCCGGCCATTAGTATAAGGGAAGGCCAGCCCGGCCGGCGGGGCTGATGTTTCAACATCGACCTATGAACCAGGAGGTCAGTTTGATTCCCGGTCCGGGCACATGCCCAGGTTGTGGGCTCAATTCCCAGTGTAGGGCGTGCAGGAGGCAGCGATCAATGATTCTCTCTCATCACTGATGTTTCTCTCTCTCTCTCCCTCTCCCTTCCTTTCTGAACTCAGTAAAAATATTTTTTAAATAATAATAATAAAGGAGGACCAAATGGAGGGCATGTTGTCATTCCATAGAACAAGCGAGGTCTCAGCCCTCAGACACACGTGGCTCTCGCACCCACGAGGACCCACTCATGTACCGTGTGGCTCACAGCCCGTGTCCGTCAGCAAACCCATCAGCAAAACCGCGGCCTCCTGACTGGGACTGGCCTTTCTGAGAGCAGCTCTGAGGCGATGGAGGAGATGAACAGTGTTTCATTTCGTCTGAGAAACCACAGCCTGGCTCGTCTCTCTTGCCACAGGTCATGGCAACAGATGAAGGAGGTCCCAACCCCCCTTTTTAAAAAGTCATTATCCAAACACTAGCTGTAGGTGGTGAACTAGACAGCTCAGCAGTGGAGAGGGCTCTAAAACGAAAAGACACTGTCTCCCCATCTCCGGCCACGAGCCCCAGTGTTCACATCTGTTCTATAACCTTCCGGAAAGTGGTACGCGTGTACCTACACCCGCGTGGGGCCCCGCCGCCCAGCCTGGCTCGCACCTTACGGCTTTCCCAGGACAGTGGACCTCAGAGGCGTCTCTACTCCGGCTCCCGCGGGTTTGTGGCATCCTGTCCACGCCGCTCCGATGCCGGGGTTCCGGGGCCGGGCACTGACTGTGTTCCAAACACTCTCCCTGTCCGTTCTTATCCTCCAGACTTTCTGTACCAAAACACTCTGGCTGCAGTGGGCATCCAGGCCCTCGGTGAGCACACCTCCAGCCCGTGGGTGACGCCACGCGTGCACTAACATCACGTTCAACCCTCAGCGCCTGCACCTGCTTGCGTTGGCCATGCACGGAAGACCCTCTCCTGAGCATGCTGACCTTCCTAGAGAGGGCAGACCAGGCTGCTGCCCCGTGGCCCAGCGCCCTCCCTGGGTGGCTCCATAGTGTGGACATGACCTTCCAGGAGGCCCAGAGCAGATTGTGTCCGCTCATCTCTGCGGCGGGTTATTTAATCCAATGAAGACAGCACCCAGCCGGGAAGCAGGGGCCACGCAGATGTTGGCAGCGTTCTTACTAACACATGGCGCTAGGACCCAGCACAGGGCTGCGGGGCTTGACATGTGGGTACGGCTCCCCTAAGGCCAAGCACATCTGCTGCCTCCTAATTGTCAGCGAGGGTCCCACCTGATAAGTCTCCTTTCTCCTTCCTGTTGCTGCACGCCTGTTCTCTCGGTTGGTTGCGTGCTCTTCCCGCTCTGCTGGGTTTTGTGTGGATTTGCTTGGAAATGGCGGTGTTTTCATGCTACTCACACACCCCCTGGTTCCCGTGCCAGTGACCCTGGGTTACACTCTCATGCCCGGGCACCGAGGGAAAGGGCAGGATTGAGACCAGCATGTGTGGCTCAGTCCCGGTGGCCTCTTCCAGGTAAGGCCCGGAGCCGAGGGGCCCACCTCCACGGCCTCACACACAATGCAAAGGGCGGCGAGTGGCCGTGTGCCACCTGGGCCCTGGGCGGGGCGTCTAGCACCAAAATGCCCCCAGAGTCGCATCTTTCTGTGCTTTGTCACAGCTCCGCCAGGCCTGGCATCTCCTAAGTTCGTTTTGGTCATGGCTGATTTGACCAAACGGGTAGGAATGTCAAGACAAAACAAAAAACAAAAGAAGTGACATCCCGGATCCAGAGCTAAGAAAGAGGGGTGGATTACTTCCTGGGCTCGTTCTCGCCTCGCACATGATCACACACCTTCTGCACGCCGGCACCTGCTGTCCGTGCGGTGCCTCCCGTCAGTGTCACGCCCGGTCACTGAGAAAGGGTGACGCCCACCTCAGCCCCTTGGATCCTCACAGTGGGCGTGGAGGGTGGACGTTCACAGCCTCGTCCGATCTTTACAAAGGTACCCGCGCAGTGAGTTGCCCAAAGCATTGCCCTGGGCTTTGGAACTCGGGTGGGTCCTTCACCCCACTGTACCCCTACTTCTCCTTGGTGTCAGACGCGGCCCAGTGAGCACCGATGCCCTCTGGGCTCACACACCAGCCCAAGCTCACATACCGCCTCCCGCAGCCTCTCCCCTCCGTCTGAGTCCCCATCAGTTGTGTGGGGCATCGCAGCCCAGAGGCCTCCCTATCCTCCCTCCCTTCCACTCTCTCTAGAAGTCAATGGAAAAAATATCCGCGGGTGAGGGTTAAAGAAAACAAAGAAAAGAAGAGCGGGTAGTTGAAGATCTTCTCCAATAGGATTAGAGTGTGTCTGTTCCCAGGCCCCACTTCTCGGGGATTGTGGAGGACTGATTTTCCAGGCATGAAGGGCCCCTCTGTGGTGGGAAAACTAGCACTGCTTCTCCCAGGGCGGAACCTCTGGTAAAAATAGCTGTGCTCACGCCCCCGCCCGCCCCCTGTGGGAGAACGTGATGTCTTTCTGGTGTGACTCCCCTGAGAATAACAGTTCCTCCTGTGTCCTCGTCCTCCGGACCTCTGATCCGCCTCCCGCTCTCCAGCTTTCTCCGGGCGGGCGTGCCAGGTACAGCCAGAGGCTGGTTCTTCATCTCTGCCCTCCACCACCCTGCCTCAGGGTCCCGTCACAGGTGTCCACACCTGAGGGGACAGGTTTCAAAAGGCTTCCATTTGCCGGCATCCTATTTCTCTCTCTGGGATCAGGAGAATTCCATGGAGACGGACCTGGAAAGAAAAGGGGGTGGTTGCGGTGGTGAGCAGTGTTGAAACCTGCGGGCACACTCCCATGGGCAGTGATCACAGGGCAGAGCTCCGGTTGGCCCGGGCTCGTCCTTGTCCCTAGCGCCGTGGTCAGCGGCCGGCGTGAGGCTTTCAGAAGTGGGGGTTTCTGCCCTGGGTCTGACAGCATGTGGTCCCACGAAGCGGGGGAAGCCCTCAGGAGCACCCCGCTTTAGAACTTGATGCCCTGGAGCGTGGGCCGCCTTTTAGATCTTAGGAGCTCCTCTTTTAGTTGTTTTCGTGTGTGTGTGTGTGTGTGTGTGTGTGTGTGTGTGTGTGTGTTTATTGATTTCAGAGAGAGAGACACAGCAATGATGAGAGAGAATCATTGATCGGCCGCCTCCTGCACGCCCCCCACTGGGGTTGGAGCCTGCAACCCGGGCCTGTGCCCTGACCGGGAATCGAACCCTGACCTCCCGGTTCCTAGGTCAATGTTCAACCACCGAGCCATGCTGGCCGGGTGAGGTCAGCAAATTTGATTGTGACACGGGAGTCGCCAGCCGGTGGTGTTTCTCGTTTCCTGTTCTGTGGCAGCTAAGCGCTGGCTTTGGGACTTCCCGCTGGAAGAGGATGGGTTCTCCCAGCTACCAAGATGGTCCTCACGGGAAAGGTCAGACACGCGTGCTCTTTTCACACAAGTCAGGAGCGAGACGGGGACCCCGGCCAGCCGAGGGACATGTATTGCGTTTGCCTTCCTCTTTCTGTTAGAGACTTCGCCTTCTTTTCCATTGTTCCAGGAGTTCTTGCCCAGCTTTGCCTGGTTAGTGAACAGCAACAGACATGCAAGTGGTTGCTCCTCCAGGGGGCACTGCCCCAGCCCCTGGGAGCACCCCCAGCAGATTCACTTGAATGGTGTCGATCAGTCAGGCTCCCAAAGGACGTTCTCCTGGAAGCAGCTCTGCCGCGGCGGGAACGCTTGCTGGCAGCACCTGTGCCGTGGGCTTCTGCGGCTTGGCCACTCTCTGCTCGCAGGTGGCCGTTCCTGCCTAATCTCCTTGTCTGAGCTCAGGACCGCCTCCGCCTGGCATCGCCATCTTGGTATCAGCACTGTTGACATGTTGGACCAACAATCCTTGGCAGGGGGTGCCCTGTGCACTGCAGGGTGTCTAACAGCACCCCTTGGCCTCATTGAGGGCTGGGCTGCCATGGCCGCTGTGTGTCTCAGAGCCTCCACAGGGCGGCTCTGCCTGCAGCCCAGTCTGCCGAGCACCGGGCGGGACCTGGAGGAGAGGAACATCCCCGCAGACAGTCAGCAGCCTTTGCTCAGCCCTCCGGGCGCCAGGGCAAACCCCCCTGAGGCCCCCCTGCACACGAACTCCACGTCCACCCGTGGGCTGGCGGACCAGATCCATCCGACACACGGAAGTCCGCCAGGGCCCGAGGGTGATGCCCGTCCTCGCCTTCACCCTCCGCCAGTGCGGGTTAGAGACGGGCCTAGGGGTTGAGCAGTTGGAGGGCACGAATCACAGCGCCTTTATTACACACGCGGTCGCAAAGAACCAGATGTGGAGCAGTCACCCCAGCCTCTGGGTCCAGGGGTCACTGCCGGCACCCCACCCACATCCCAGCCTTCCACGTGGAACCAAGACTGGTGCCTCGCGTGTGTGTGTGCGTGTGTGTGCTTGGGCATGTGCGTGCGTGTGTGTGTGTGTGTGTGTGTGTGTGTGATCCATGCCCAGGCCCTGCTTGCTCTGTAAGATGGACATGAGCAGCGGCCCCCTTGGGGTCCCCTCACTGTCCACAGTGCATTTCTGCCAAGGGGTTCACTGCGGGGAAGGAGGGAGAAGATGTACAACCGAACGAATCTCGTTCTTGTTGGCTGTGCCTGGCTTTCAACCCAGCGACCTGCAAGCCTCCAAGTTCTCCCGCCTAACCTGCCCGACGCCCCGGGGGCTCCTCCCCGCGGGGTGCTCCACGCTGCGTGCTCCGCATGCTGACTAACCTCCCCCCTTTCCTCTTCCTCCACAGTGTGGCAAAGGCGCGGAAAACTTCGACAAGTTCTTCACACGCGGGCAGCCCGTCCTAACGCCGCCCGACCAGCTGGTCATCGCTAACATCGACCAGGCTGATTTCGAAGGGTTCTCGTATGTCAACCCCCAGTTTGTGCACCCCATCCTACAGAGCCCAGTATGAAGCTCACCCACGAGAACACACGCCTCCCCTGCCCCCGCCCCACCCCGCGCCCCTCCCGCAGTGGGAACTGATCCTTCACCCGACACTTCAAGGCCGAGGCCTTGTTTCTCGGTCCAGACGGAGGCCAGAAAGATCATACGGTTGTTAGTCCAAACGTGACCTCCCGTTCAGGGCCTTTCTCTTACAACCAAGAACCTTATCTTAGCGGAAGAGAACACAGAGCTCAGTGTCCAGTTTCGTCATGGGGAGGCCGCCTCCGGCGTAGGGCAGCCCTTCCTGGAAAGCAAACAGACTCTTGCCCCTTTTTGGTACGATTTGATACGTTTCCCCGTCCTGTCTGTCGGTTCTCACCATCAGAATCCTGCCCCCACCCCAACCAGAGTTGTGGGCCGGACACAGCCCACCCAGGCGCCTTGGGAAGGAGACGGGGACCCAGAGAGCAGAGAGCGAGCTGGCGGGTGGGGTGGGCCGGCGTGGAGCACCTGCCCTTCCTTCTCCATGGAAAGAGTCGCCCGTTGCCAGCTCCCTGTTCCCAGACGTTGACAGTCGTAACCCCATCATGGCCCGGTGGTTACCGGATTTTTTAAGGAAAGAGAGGAAGGAAGCCTCGGGTGGGTGTCCGTGGGCCTGTCGTCTCATCCCCACGCGGTCGCTCCCCGTCGTGATGCCTGCACTTCTTTGTAAGAGGCCAAACCTTCTAAGGACTTTGCACAGGACGTCACTTCCCATCCAGGACACACCGGTGCGTGTGCGTGTGCGTGTGCGTGTGCGCGTCCGTGTTAACCTCTGGGAGATTACGCTGCGATCTGATCGGGGTGCCATCCGCAACACACCACGCACCAGTGTTGTTAGCCAACCCTCCTCCCCCCCACCCCCACGCACACCCCTGTTTTACTACCTGCTTCCTAGGGAGCGAAGTGTACGCCCCGCCCCTTTTGTATTTATTTATTGACTAGGC